AGCTAGTACCTGATCCAACCACGTACACCGTCCATCGAGGTTCGTATGACAGATTCACGTGCTGTGCATCAGAATCCAGTCTCTGAAGAAAGGTTGTGCGTTAGATCAGTGAGTGCAACTAACGTAGACAAGGAAATTGGATACCTGAAGATCACAAGAATGTGCGGTTTACCTCTTTGTGGCCGGATGACAGGACCGCAACATTCCGTCCTAGAAATGCTAATCTGTAGGTGCAGACACCGTGACCCGGTCCCGGTGAGCATCTGTAATCTGCTCTGCTGGTGTTGTAGAGCAGGGTCCTGATTCTGAATTCCAGCTGCACCTGCCGAATGAAACCTTCAGAACAAATGCCGATGCGCGATGCTGTTGCACGGCATTCAGGAACTCCACCGGGCTTTCATTTCAAGATGGCTACTTGATTTACCGTCGTGTCGTGATGATCGTTTAGGTTGCACACGGCAATGTAGTACTCAGAGGAGAGATTGACAGCCTGCTCAATTGTTCCATTTCCTGTGGGCAGACAGTCTGACAGCATTAGCATTCAGAATTTCACTGAACTGGTTCTTTTAATGCCTGTTCGGGGCTGGCTGGTTTGTTTCGCTTCTTTGGTTCGTGAAGAAGTACTGCTGGCTGGTTTGTGTGAGAGAAAAATACTGTTCCGGCTAGAAATTTACGATCGTTTACGATAAGCCACAGCCAAACGAACATGCTGTTAGTTGGTACTTACTCAGTACTTACCCTGCACCAAGCGCCAAAATAATGTGCTGTTCTGGACTGATGGCATTTCAGTCCACCGAATGAAGCTTTCCTTGCCTGTGGAGCCACCGCCAAAGATCACACAACCAGAATTTTCCAAAGTAAAAGGAAGATGATGACATCTTGCAGTTATGAGAAATGAAGTGATACGAGCTTAAATGCAAACCCTTTAGCATATAGCACGTCTTCTTAGTTCTTCCCTTCTTTTCGCTAGGGACCAACCACGCCTTCATCATCAGTTTGTAATGTATCTGAAGGTACCGTACCTTGTGCAATGATGATGCAGAGTGGAAGAGGCACGCCATCTTCAGACTTGACACTGTAAGCGGCTTGAAGTCGAGTCCCCTTGCTGAGGAAATATGCCCATTGCTGCACGGTACAAACACGACAACACTATTTAGGCCTAATTGCAGTTAGTTTGGTTGCCGACGTTCTGATGAAAGCTTTTGCTGGAAGCCTGCAGCAGGTACTCTGAACGCGCAGAACCACCTCCAGAGCCTAACAACAGACAGTCTGAATTCTGAAAGACACACTGCCAGACAGTAACCACCGGCGCGCGGCAATCAGATCCAGCGACGAACGACGACGACACAACGCGGCGTTACCCTGTGAGAGTTGGCGGGCACGACGACGCGACGAGCCTCCGGCCACTCGTCCGGCACATCCAGCGGCGGAGCCACAGGCAGCCCGTAGAGCACCAGACCGCCGCCGCTCCCTTGTGACCCTGCATCCACAATGACCTGAAAACGCACAGAGCACACACGCAGACACGTACGCTAAACGCTTCTTGCCTCCAGGCTTGTTCAAAGAGCAAGCAAATTCAGCGTACTGCTGCTCACCTTGATGCCCTGCACGAAGACCGAACTCGCATGCACGAGCCGCGAGCACCCCGGGCCGACGGCCAGCTCCACGGGGCCGTAGTATCCCAGCATCAACGCCATGGACAATAAATTAAAACACTGCAATCGACCAAATTAAAACGGGTACGACGACGTTGGGCGAGTGTGGATCGAGGTCGAGGGCGAGAGTTCGACCGAGGAGGCAGAAGGCGAGGAGCGAGACGAAGCGGGACGCCGTCGCCTCCATCGAGCCGCTGGCGCGCGGTGGACGTGTGATACTGTGACGGCGTGATGGACGAGCACGGGCGCATGGAGAGAGCGGGAGATGGGTGCATGTTGTACGGAACGTTCGATGGGGCCTAGTAGCCGCGTACGTAGCTACCGGTCTCATGCATACATGGCGCGTGCGCGAAGGTAGGTAACCTACGGTTCCGATCCGATCCTGACCGACGGGAGAATGTTCCTGTGTGGAACTGTGGATGACTACACCGTCACCATCTCAGGAAGACGGAAAAAATCTGCTGGTCACTGTATAAACACGAGGTGTATACTTTTTTTTTGAAGAATTAACACGAGGTGTATACTTAGGGGGTGTTTGCTGGGACTGTTCTGCTCCATTTTTTTTAAGCTCTACTTCATGTTTTTTAGTTAAATGGTTTTAGCTCCACACACTCTGTTCGAAAAAAATGAATGGACTTATAAGAGCACCTTAAGGGGTGTTCCACAAACTCCAGTTTTTTGTGAAGCTGCTCCATGGCAGAGTTTGTGGAGCAATCCTAAACACCCCTTTAGTTAATGCGTGACATGAGAACTTTTAAAACATAATTTGCCTGTTGTTTCCACTCGCAGTCTGGTCTGATATGTGACAAACATAAAAAAAGGGAAAATTCTAACCAGCAAACCATTTTTTCTGTGCCCACCAGATAGAGGCTTTTTACGTGTCAAGTAGATGTACGCTTTCATAATGGCGCACTTAAAAGACCCCTACCTAGCATGTCAGGTAGAAGCCTTTTTATGTACCAGATAGATGTGGGATGCCAGATGGAGGATGTGGGATGCACGACGCAGGCGCGGTGCGTGAACTCAATGCCATTGAGGAGTGTTTAGAGGAGCAACAGGATACAAGATGTCAGGTGTTGCTCGTTGGGTCAGCCTAGAAAGAGTTGTGAGAGGGGGACACATATGGGCATGCGTACTTAGGCTAGCGTGGCGGGATACGGTGTCTAAATGACCCTATAAAATCATCTAGGGCCAATTAAATATTATTAGATGCTTTAAGAGCTATAATATTATAATATTAAGGCCTTATGGGTGGGTGGGGGTATGTACTCAACCGTGATATGTTAGAGGGTTATATAAACTTTTTCTATTGTTTGTTGACTCAATTAAGGCCATGCTAGCACCCACATAAGATGCTATGTCGACGAATCCACCTTCAAAACCTTCTCAGGATGTTATTTAGATGGTCTTTGGCAGTTTAAGGGCCGGGTAGAATACCTGGTGTTATAGGTGATATAGGTGATGAGGTGAATCACCGATAGTTTGGGTTTTAAAGTAGACTTTGTCTAATTTTGTTATCATGGGTCCCTCTGCTTGGTATGAAGCTTGTGTCTAGGGGTGGTCACTTGGTTTTGGTTCGGTTCCTCGGTTCTCAAAGAAATTTGGTTCTTGAAAAGTAGGAACCGATCAGTTCTAAGAAATTTTGGGAACCGAACATTTCGGTTTTCGATTATTTTGGTTTGGTTCCGGTTCTGACCAAAGTAACCTAACATTTTTTAACAGAGGTTAAGACAACAACAAAATATGTAGGTTCTAAAGCAAATTTAGGCAACACTACCTCTCTATTTAGATAATAATACACTCGGGTTCAAGTCCCCGACTTGACACGGGTGCTCGTATTTTCCTGAATTTATTCCAGGATTTAACGGCGCTATTTTTTCAGTGGTAGGCGACGTGCCCGTTGACAGCGAGACGCCTCTGGTGACTTCGTCAATCTCGAGATTTGTCGGTTCAACTCGGTTCTTTGGAGGTGTTCATAGGGGTAGGGTGCACGTGCGTGCGTTTATAGGGGTGAGTGTGCGCTCGTGTATGTGAGCGTCTGTGTCTGTAACTAGATCTCGCAAAAAAAAGGAACAATAGCAATATTATATAGTAATATAAATACATAGCAGTTCAAATATGAGACGAGATGAGGTAACAAAAATATATAAATAGCAAATTTGATAGAATTTTGCATATAGTACAACTTTAATTTGCAACTGTTAATTGTTCCTGCACTTGGAATGACATTTGAATCAGAGGACAAATATTAGGAGATGTACATCATCTATGTCGATAATGTCGGGTTTAGTATTAGAAAGAGCAAGAGAAATTGCTTCCAAGATGATACTATTTATCAGAAATATATAGGCCCCGTTCGCTGGTCTGAAATTTGGCTGAAACTGGCTGAAAAATACTGTTCCGGCTGAATTGTTGTGAGAGAAAAACACTGTTCCGGCTAAAAAAAAAAGCCGAACAAACCATTTTTAAGACAAGCGAACGGGGCTATAGAGGATTGTAGTTATTCACCGTAAATATATAGATTTACTTACGTTCCAAAATTACCAATGTTGAAGACTGCAGCTCATAATTACAGCCATAGTGTTTCCTTGCTGTAAATGGTGCCGAGCGAAATACATAAGTTTTGTATATTACAGCCATGGTGCAACGATTGATCAGTTCTTTTGATAATTGCAAAACATTATTTAGGTAACCTGTTGCGTTTGAAAGTCAATTGAAAACTTTTTATAGATATAAAAATGGATTTGAGTTCCTAAAGAAAATAGGATACACTATTTAACCTTCAACGTAGCAACGCATTGGAAGATTGCATAATATAGATCACTTGTTACTATGGATGAAAACGGATCGGATATGAACGGATATCACTGATATTACATTTGTTTTCATATTTTTGTCCGGATTCGGATTCGAATACGGATATTGTCAACCATGCCAGATAGGATACGATTGGATATAGACATCATAAATATGCGATTTGATTATTCGGATACGAATACGGTATCAGATGTTGAATATCCAGACTCGGATACAGACAAATTTGAACCTTTCTAAACGGATTCGGTCTCGAATACGGTTGGACAATATCCATACCGTTTTCAACCCTGCTTGTTACACCAATAAATAGATTCAAATCGAAATGTACAACTATCAGGCCGTATGTACGTAGCAATGCACGAACATGTATGTACTACTTGGTCTTGACGACTCCTTCGGCCCGTTCGCTGGTCTGAACTTTGGCTGAAACTGGCTGAAAAATACTGTTCCGGCTGAATTGTTGTGAGAGAAAAACACTGTTCCAGCTAGAAAAATAAACCGAACAAGCTAAATTTAAGATAAGCAAATTTAAGACGAGCGAAGGAGACCTTCGTTCCCGGAGAGGAGGAGGTACTTGTCCTTCCTCGTGAGAGTTGTCCCTTGGAACCCGAGCGCAGAGGCCAGTTCACGCTGCACCTCGTTTGCCACCTCTATGCTGCTCTTACCGCCCTCAGTGCTCACCGGCTTCAAGAACTGGACGCTGTACTCCGGCCGAGGGTTCATGAGGAAGTAGACGGAGTCCAAGCTCTTGGCGAGAGGTGACGTGGACGTCGCGTAGAATTCGCTCGTCCGCGCGTCGACCGCCTCGGGGGTCACCTCGGCGGCGAGCTCGGCGAACAGCGGGCTGAACCGGAGTAGGTACGGCTCCCGGCACGTCGTCCCCTCGGGGCACACGATCACGTCGCCGCGCGCCAGCATCGACGACATGCGGCGCCGGTCCACCTCGCGGTCGCGGGTCAGCCGCCGCAGCGGGATCGGGGAGAGCACCTCCGATAGGCGGCCCAGGCTGTACGACACCGAGGCGACGGGCCTCCCGAGCGCGCTGGCGATGCCAACCGCGTCGAGGAGCGTGCGGTGGTTGCAGGCATAGAGCAGCCCGCCGTGAGGCTTGCCGCTGTCTTAGTCCGCTGCGGGAGTGGCGGTGGCCCCGATGACGCGCACCCTCACTCCGGTGAGCGCGGCAGCGACGGCCGACACGCGCCACGGGAGGAGGATGTAGATGGCGATGCGGATGACGGCAAGGACGACGCCGAAGGGGAAGTAGATGTACATTGCGAGCGCGGCCGCCGCCGTCGGCGTGAACGCCAGCCGGCCGTCGTGGAACACAACGGGCTTCGGGGCATAGCCGCACGATGTCGTCTTCTCGGTTTGATCCAGGGAACGCGCAACCCTCTCCGTGTCCAGCTCGGCCATGGCCCCGGTGAGGTACCGTGGCCCTCCTTTGAGCTCCCTCCCTGCCACCGCGTCGAACCCCACGTACTCCTTCAAGAACGCCTCCACCATCACCGTCGGGAACGTCGGGCTGACGGCCACCACCTTCGCCTCCTTGGGCAACGCGCGCAGCGCCGGCTCGACGGCGTGCACGCCCGGCGCCTCCCGGGAGAAGATCTTGGGGAGCACGGCCCTGCCGACCCTGGCCGCCTCGTCGCGGCGGAGCCCGCAGAAGGAGACCATGGCCATGGCCCTCACGCGCGCGCCGCAGGGCAGCGCGCGCAGGACCGGGTAGAGCGCGAGCAGGACGAGGCCCCGGGCGTAGCCGCCCGCCTCGACGGCGGCGAGGAAGTAGGGCGGGAACGCGGCTCCCGGCGACGGGTTCAGGAGCAGGGCATCCGCGTCGACCGCGAACGCGTTCTCGCCTTGCTGGCGCAATGCCGGAGGCGACGGCGATGCTGCTGTCTGTACGGCGGTGGTCGCCGCGCCACGGGAGCAGCGGCGGAGGCCCGCGGCGAGGCCTCGCTTCACGAGGCGGTGGATGCGGAGCGCGCGGCTCATAAACCTGTCGCTGGTCAGCGCCATAACTCAGAGGTGATGATTGTGGGGTTGATCTTGTAATCTGTCCTCTTTTTTATGTGTATATATATAAGTAATCGATGATTTGGTTTCTATATATAGGACGAGTGTTTACCGGAAGGAAACTGTTTCGGATTTAGTTTCCATATCGGACTAGTCTTTTTTGAAAGGGAACTGTTTCTGTGTGTCGGAAACGAGCTGGGATGGGATGTTTATTATAATCTACTGCTATCTTATGTGAACATAGTAAGTGAAGACGGCGTCGAAAGGTTTTCTGCTGTGATACTGTAGCCGTTGTAGGTGTAGGCGTCGCACGGCTCACTTGCAGCACTGTAGCCACGTGTAGAGGCCGACGCAGAGTCAGTCCTGTATGTTATCTAGTTGCTGTTACAATATGTACGCTGTACTAGGACTAGATGGATAAAGTTATATAAATAAACTACCAAGACAATTTTGTAAAGAGAGTTCAGATTTACTATCACTCAGACAGAGCTTCGGTCAACACGGGTGTCTTGTACCGTATGTGTATGCTCTGTTCTCTCTTCTTCTTCTAGCTCTAGCCATAATGTGTGGGGACGGACAACGCTTGTTCGTGGTCATCACAGCTAGTGGGTGTTCGGCAACACTAGCGGGTGCTCGGTAAGACTGGTGAGTGGTTCACTCACCTGAGCCTGTGATCCTGTGGGCCAACAAGTGGTATCAGAGCCGTACAAGCGTCGTCGCCAGACTAACCGCTGGCGATGACGGACGGTTCAGAGATGGACGTTAGCAGTGGCACTGCTGTGGCTGCCCAGCCACGACCGGAGGTCGTTGTTCGCACGGTGCGGGAGGTCAGCGGCACTAGTTGGCCGATACTAACTCGCACCAACTATAGAGAGTGGTCGGTGACCATGAAGATCAAGCTTAGAACCCAACGGCTCTGAAATGCTGTTGACAAGGACACCGACAATGAGGAAGATAACATGTCAGCGTTGGAGGCTATCGTCGCTGCTGTACCGACGAAGTATAGGGAGCCGTTGGGGGCAAAGAGCTCGGCTAAGGAGGCGTGGGAGGCTATTGCGGCGATGCGCGTCGGTTCCGACCGCGCAAAGAAGGCGACGACCCAGCTTCTGAAGTAGGAGTACGCCAACCTCAAGTTCAAGAATGGTGAAACGGTGGAGGACTTCTCCCTCCGCCTGCAGACGCTCATCAGTAAGCTGAAGAGCCACGACGTCACCGTCGATGAAGAGGAGGTGGTCTTCAAGTACCTCCACTCTGTGCCGGTAAAGTATATCCAGATCGCTCTTTCCATAGAGACGATGCTTGACTTGTCCACCCTCACCATTGAGGATGTGACAGGTCGTCTGTGGGCGGTGGACGAGCGCTTGGAGCAGGCGATAGCAACGAAGGACAGCGGGAAACTTCTGCTGACGAAAGAGGAGTGGGCTGCTCGGAGGAACTCCAGGAAAGCAGCCTCCTCCCACCGCGGTGGCAATGGCAAGCGCCCCGACAGGGCTTCTTCGGAGAAGAAGAAACAGGTCGACCCCAATGCTTGTCGACGCTGCAGGAAGATGGGCCATTGGGCATGGGAGTGCCCAAATCGTAAGTAGGAGAAGAAGGCTAAAGCTCATCTAGCGCAAGCTGACGATGAGGATGAGGCCACTATCCTGATGGCGACATTCTGTGCACTGCACGACGTCGAGGCCGAGGAGAAGGAAGAGGCGACGACGGTGGAAGGATCTGGGAAGGCCCTGAAGACTGTCAACCTCGACGAACCACGCGCCCAAGTCCATCTCGGACGTGTGGGCGTCGACTAGGAGCAGCGGTGGTATCTGGACTCTGGTGCCAGCAACCACATGACGGGCTCCAAGGCATCTTTCTCCGAGCTCGACGACGATTTTACCGGTACGGTGAAGTTTGGTGACGGCTCATGGGTGGTAATCCAAGGGCTCGACACCATCATATTCAGGTGCCAGAACGGGGAGCACCGCGCGCTAACGGATGTATATTATATCCCACAGCTACGTTCCAGCATCATCAGCATTGGTCAGCTAGATGAGCGCGGTAGCGAGATACTGATCAAGGACGGAGTCCTTAGGATCAAGGACTGGGAGCAATGACTTCTTGCCAAGGTGAAGAGGTCCATGAACCGATTGTAACTGCTTGACCTGAAGGTAGAGCAGCCGGTGTGCCTGACGGTATGGCACTCCGAGGAACCGTGGATGTGGCATGTCCGGTTTGAACATCTCAGCTTCGACGCACTTGGTCGGTTGGAGAAGATGATCCGAGGGCTACCCCACATCAAGCATGGAGGTGAGCTGTGTGACAGCTGCCTGGCCGAAAAGCAGAGGAGGCTACCTTTCCTAAAGGCGGCCAAGTATCGCGCGAAGGACGCTCTCGATCTAGTCCATGGCGACCTCTGCGGGCCGATCATGCCTGCTACAAATGGTGGTCGGCGGTACTTCCTCCCGCTCGTGGATGATTGCAATTGCTACATGTGGCTGCAACTCCTGACGAGCAAGGATGAAGCAGCGGCGGCGATCAAGAAGTTCAAGATGCGCGCGGAGGCCGAGAGCGGCAAGAAGCTCCGCATGCTGAGGAATGATCGCGGCGGCGAATTTACTTCGGTGGAGTTTGCTGCGTACTGCGCGGATTAGGGTGTGCAGCAACACCACACCACGCCATACTCACCACAACAAAATGGCGTGGTGGAGCGAAGGAACCAGACGGTGGTCGGTATGGCCCGATCCATGATGAAGGCCAAAGGCATGCTAGTAAGGTTTTGGGGGGAAGCGGTGACCATGGCGGTGTTCATCCTCAACCGCGCTCCGACCAAGGCCCTAACGGGCAAGACGCCGTTCGAAGCTTGGTATGGGCACAAGCTGAGCGTGTCCTTCCTCTAGACATTCGGCTGCATCGGCCACATCAGGAAGACGAAGTCAAACCTCACCAAGCTTGAGGACAGGAGCACATCGATGGTGTTCCTAGGCTATGCGGAGGGTACCAAGACATACCGGCTCTATGACCCACGCAGAGACAAGGTGCTTGTCTTGCGCGATGTCATGTTCGACGAGGAGGCGGCTTGGGACTAGAGTAGTTCGAGCACGGGGGAAGCTGGCGGCTTCACCAGCACCTTTGTCATCGAGCACTTGGTCATCCACGGTGGTGGAGACGCTGGGGAAGAGGTGCCAAGCACTCAAGTGGTAGAGCCGAGCACTCCTGGGGCAGTGCCGAGCACTTCGAAAGGGATGCCGAGCATGCCAGGAGTGGGGCCGGGAGGTTCTGCAGTGGTGGCGACCACTCCAGGACGGGTGCCGAGCACTCCCGTGGCGGAGCCAAGACATCTTGAAGTGGTACTGACCACTCCAAGACTGAGGCTGGGCACTCCTATAGTGTGCCCGAACACTGCAGGAGTTATGACGAGAAGTCTAGAAGTAGCACCGAGCACTGCAACCAGGGTGCCAAGCACTCCAGGTGCTGTGCCAAGCACTCCAGGTGCTGTGCCAAGCACTCCGGCGAAACAGGGAACTCCATCAACGCTGATCAAGTTCGCCTCACCTCCAAGTGACATCACTGAGTTCATGGATGCCTTTCATGTAGGTGAGGAGGTGTGGTTTCATAGGCTGGACGACATCGTCGGTGGCACAGGACCCTCAGGACTGGCTGGTCGACTGCTCAATGACGCAGAGCTGCTACTCGTCAGTGCAGAGGAACCACCCACGTTCGCGCTGGCCGAGCGGGATGGAAACTGGCGACGAGCGATGTTGGGGGAGATGAAGGCGATTGAGGAAAATAAGACATGGCAGCTCATCGATCCACCTCCAGGATGCCGTCCGATCAGCCTAAAGTGGGTGTACAAGGTCAAGCGGGACGAGCTCAGTGCCATTCTCAAGCACAAGGCAAGCCTCGTCGCCCGAGGCTTTGTTCAGGGTGAGGGCATAGACTTCGAGGAGGTCTTTGCACTAGTAGCATGCATGGAGTCGGTCCATTTGCTACTAGCCTTGGCAGCTGCAAAGGACTGGCGCATCTATCACTTGAACGTTAAATCGGTCTTCCTCAACGGCGAACTGGCAAAGACGGTCTTTGTCAGACAACCTCCAGGTTTTGTCATTAAGGGAGAGGAGCACAGGGTGCTCCGACTGCGCCAGGCGCTCTATGGGCTGCGGTAGGCCCCTCGAGCATGGAACGCCAAGCTTGACGCCACGGTGGGCGAGCTTGGGTTTTAAAGGTGCGCAACCGAGCACAAGCTCTACACGCGGCGATGGGGGAAGGAGGAGCTCGTCGTCGACGTGTATGTGGATGACTTGATCATCACCAGTGCGCGCACAGAGGACATCAACAGCTTCAAGCGTGAGATGGTGGCTCATTTTCGAATGAGCGATCTTGGCGCACTCTCCTACATGCGAGGCAGAGTACGTAGCGACGGCCACAGCGGCGTGCCAAGTTGTGTGGCTACGCCAGCTACTGGGTGAGCTGACCAGCATGGAAGCTCACCCACCAGCACTGATGGTGGACAACCAGCCCGCCATCACCCTCGCGAAGAATCTAGTTTTGCACAACTGGAGTAAACACATCGATGTGAAGTCCACTTCCTCAGGGACTATGTCGATAGAGGGCAGATCGTCATCGAGTTTGTCAAAACTGGTCGGCAACTCACGGACGTCCTCACCAAGCCGCTCGGACGTCTTCAACTCATAGAGCTGAAGGAGATGATCAGCATGGAGGGGGTACAAGGGTTAGCAGTATGATTGGGGGAAGATTGTTAGATAATCTACTGCTACCTTGTGGGAACACAGCAAGGGAAGGCTTCGTCGAAAGACCCCTGCTATGATACTGTAGCCGCTGCAGGTGCAGGCGCCGCACCGCTCACCTATAACACTGTAGCCACATGCAGGGGCCGGCGTAGAGTCAGCTCTGTATGTTATCTAGTTGTTGTTACAGCATGTGCGCTGTATTAGGACTAGATGGATAGAGTTGTATAAATAGACTACCAAGGGAACTCAGTAAAGAGGGTTCAGATTTGCCAC